ATCGAATTGTGATGGTGGTGATGATGCTGTATGAGTAGGTGATTTGTCCTCGTGCGATTCCGGAGACATGTGGACGTGAGCAGTGATTGAAGCTCGTTCAGCAGACTCGCTCACCAAACTGGACTGACTCGGAGTACGTGCCACGGGTTCATTCAACTCGTCTTCACCAAAAGAATCCCCGGACTCGTGTGGTGACCCGGTACTTTCAAATCGATGTCTACTGGCTTCATGAGACAAGGTTGACTGATGCAAGTCGTCTCCCATCTCCTCTTCCGTCTCGACTTCTCCTTCAATGTGGCCCAATTCGTCATCTACATCCATACTGATCCCATGATCAGCAATCTCGTTGGGCGACGGATGCAACGTGACGTCCCCGGGGGAATCCGAGGACGACAATCCCTGTCCCAGTTGTGGATTGGATCGATTGAGGTAGTCTAAACTCTCAGAGGAGGTCAAATGCACAGTTATGTTTTCTCGTGGTGTGTAACCCGGATGCCCCATTTCCATATGCCTCATCAGGTGATCTTTGCGGTAGTATGCTTTGGAACACACGCGACATTCAAAAGGTTTGAATCCGACATGTTTGAGTGCGTGACGTTGAAGATTAGAGCGTTGGGTGAATTGAGCTTTGCAAATATGACACCGGTAGGTACCGTGCTGACACATGGTATGCTCTTCCAGTGTGTGCAACGAGGGGAACTCTTCGCGGCACTGATTACAAGGAAAACGACGATTCGAACTCGGACGTCGCGCGACGCTGTTCACACGATGATTCGTTCCAGTTGTACCGCCGCTGCTGCCACCAGCACCACCACCGCTACTCAAGCTGCATCCCGTGTTAATACGTTGTCGTCGAACGGGCTTGACGGGACTATTCGGAGCGGACAGTGTGCCATTCGAGACTGCGGTGAATAGATTGGACGGTGGACTGGATGAATGAGTGAAATTGGGGGCATCTCCATTCACACACGAGTCCAACGTTCCAAGCAACATAGCTCGATTCCACACATTGTGATACTGGCTGAAAGCGGCCATCTGTTTCTGATACGCTTCTAATAGCTGATGTCGTCCGGTTTGCTCCATCGGTTCCATCAACGGATGGTGGATGAGTGAATCTTTCATTGGTGTGATTGGAGCCGAGCCAGCCAAGGAGCCGTTTCGTGACAGATCCAACACGCCGGAGTCTGTGGATGGACTAATCGGACTGGAGCGACCGGGCGGAATCGATGGACTGGTGTTGTCAGGTGACATATTCAGATCGGGACCGGGCAATGTGTCTGACACATTGTCAGACACCTCACATTTGATCGGGTTGGTTGATTTGCGTCGAGACGAACTCGTAGCACTGGATTGTGTCGCATCCTGACTCACATCCGCGACATTTGAGAAAGTCATAATACCAGTGCTGGCAGTCGAAGTGTTCGGGCTTGTGCATGGTACGGTGAATTCAGATCTAGGGAAATTGACGTCGTCAGACTTGTTCGGCAAACTGACGGCTGAGGCTGGTAGACTGGAAGTGGAATCATTGAATTTCAAAATAGTCGCACTCTGTGTGGTCTGTGCGGACCCAACGGATATTTCCAAGTGACCTTGAATGTTCAATTGGGTAAAATGGGGCAGACATTGACTGAGCGCTTGACGTATGGCTAACTGTAGCAACGGTGAACATGCGGGTAAAATTTGCGGACCAACTGTAGACGCATTCGAACTCAGTGCACTGGTTATGGCGGCTGTCATGGCGAAACTGGGTGTCCCAGTGCCGGTTCCATTGGGGGCTTGTGCCGGAGTGGTAGCTGGAGCTGGAGCGGCAGCTGTGACAGGCGATGCACGATAGTCGGAAGGCGAAAAACGTCGGCACAACGCAGTGAGCAGTTGAGACAGAGTGGCCGGGTCTGTGGGCATTCCTCCAAACTGTTGCATTATGGTTCGATAAAGCGTCTGCGTGATTAGCGGTGACGGGGTTGCGGACTCGGTTTTGATCTGGTACAAATTGGCCAGTAAATTCATATCCACAGACGAATTACTGATACCGTTCTCGAGAGGAAACTGGAACAATGAGTCGGTCGAGTTGTTCGAACGGGACCAATGGGTTGTTCCCTCGGGACAAGATGTGATTGACGGACTGGAGACTGAGACCAGCAGAGGTTTGGTGGAACCAATCGATTGAAGAACCATTCGCCTAGAGGGAGCACAGCAAAAATAAAACCTCTGGTAAACGGCTCGAGGGGCGAAAAGACGCTCAAAGGTGAACAGTGAAGTGCGAAATAACTATATCAACAATAGGTGTTTTGCTACCCAAATTAACCATAGGAACGGACAATGATGCATTGTATTGTGCATTGTGTATCACTTTTGCAAGCAATGAAGCCTATATTTCAGTTAAAAATAATCATACACGTCAACCGTCACAGGAAGCAAATTCAACGGGAAAAAGGGGTTCACAAACACAGGGGCGGTTCATAGTCCAAGGCTGAGACAAAATGCACTTGTGACCCTCTCTTTTCGTTTGAGTAAACGTGAAAGATAGGAAAGCCCCCATCTGTGAGTGAGATCGATAGTCAGCACCTTTGAGTCGGGAGGTGAAACAAGAGATGTACTCAGGGCGCGGAATTATCAGTCTATTGGTGAAAGTTCTCGATCGATTTTATTTGTAATCTTTTAGGGATTTCCGGAAGAGGCCGATAATCTACAATTCTTCCTCATTGTAGTGACTAATCCCTCAGTTTTACTTATTACAATTATCAATCTAACATTCAAGTGTTCCAGTTCCAGTTCTTGAAGAGTTTCAGCAAAACCAATTGGGGACAGGAGGAGAGGGGAAACAAATATAAACACCCCCGTTAGTCATTTGATTATGATTGTTAATCATAACGGATCACACTGAAAGTCGACTTCATCTTGAACGACTATTTAGCGACTAGAATAAACTCAGAAAAGTTTTTTTTTAATAAGCCAGCGGTTGATATGTGCGGCTGATTACATCGAACTGAACAATCACAACCATTGTCCGGATGATCTTATTCCGAAAATAAAAAGCAATAGCTAACCGGCATGGACTGATGATATCACAAATGACACATTCTAAATTCATTAAATATCAAATGAAAGATTCTAATGATAGCCCACGGTTAAGTTGGTCAACTTAAAAAAACATGAGCAGCAACCCTCTCTGTGGGACTTAAACCATAATCTAGGAAACACGTGAATAGCTACTCGGACCAAAATAGGAAAACTAATTCGGAAACAAATGTTTATGATATCAAGTGACCATCATGACTTACCACAAACAATAATTGATGGGTCAATTATCCCAAATCGCGGTTACGGAAGTTGTCGAGCCGGTGTGTTGTGGCCGACGAAAGCGCACACAGTCAGGTGGGCAAGCAGGCAGGCAAGAGAACAAGTGCCGGCGAGGAACGCTCAAGTGTGTGAATCAACCACGTGCGCAGTTACCGCCACTTAAATATCGCGAGACTGATCCTCCAGGGGACAACCATCAACTGCTGTAAACGGACCAATCAGAACTCAGTGCGCGTTTGTGCGTGTGTATGAGTGAATCAGCGAATCACGAGTGTCCCTGTGATGCGGTGCACACCACTCAACAGACGCACGTGCACACGTGAAAGCTAGGGCAGTGGAATTTGATTGGGGCTAATGGAGATTCCACGATTAGTAAGCAAACGGTCTATAAACCGAAACCGCATGACAGGGAGTGTGAACACACACAGGAGAAACAGTTGGGGTGTTCGTGCGTGTATGCATCTCGTTCTGTTCACTGTTCCGCTATACACTCTCACCTGATTTGCAGCAATCTGTGTGCTTCGTTGGAGT